AACCACTGCTGTAGAGAGTAGCAATGTCTTTTTTATTGACAGTTTTCCCGGATCATGTTAATGTTATATTTAGTGGACACAATAAGATATTAATATTATATTTAGTGGGTTCATGAAGACTCTATTGCCTATTGCCAATACCGCCAATGGTAGTACCAGTGGAATTTTTCTACGCCAAGGCTTAGATGAAGACTCAGCCTTTCCCAACACAGTGATGCTTAAGTCCTGAATACGGATGACATTGATATTCAGTTCAATGGCAAACAAGACAAGTTCAGGCAACTGATTTATGGTATTAAGTGTGCAAATGTTGAGGTTGAAATTAATGTGTATTTTTTGCATGCAAGAAGTTTTGTTTGGTGACCCCGGAGCTGATTTTTAGAACCTTGTGTCGAGGTCAGGACAACAGTAGAATGCTCCCTTTTCTAACCTGCGTGATGGGCGATACGGAATGGGTTTCTGGTATTCTTGATACTCATGTTTGTCTTACAATGACTTAGTACTCATATATGACTCACCATTCATATAGAGAGTAGCAGTGTCAGTTTTACTGATAGTTTTCCGGGACCATGTTCACGGACATGCTTATTGTTCTCTGCAAGGGTGGTGTAAAAACTAAATACATAGTTTATCATGTAAGGCCATCTACACCTGACTGTCATTTTGTATCCCAGTGGCAGTTGATTTAAATGGTTTACTTTTGGTTTTATTATAGTTTTCCTTCTCAAAGATGGACTGTCTTCATCACGGCTATGGAGTTCCATCTAAACCTGACAGTAACAAGTTGTACTCATACCATAGTCGAGCTCAACCACAATTTTGTCATTTCATCATATAGAGAGTAGCAGTGTCAGTTTTACTGATAGTTTTCCGGGACCATGTTCACGGACATGCTTATTGTTCTCTGCAAGGGTGGTGTAAAAACTAAATACATAGTTTATCATGTAAGGCCATCTACACCTGACTGTCATTTTGTATCCCAGTGGCAGTTGATTTAAATGGTTTACTTTTGGTTTTATTATAGTTTTCCTTCTCAAAGATGGACTGTCTTCATCACGGCTATGGAGTTCCATCTAAACCTGACAGTAACAAGTTGTACTGGACTACAGCTTACCACTAGTCGAGAGCAGGAATCAACCAAGAGCAATTTTGTCTATTAAGTTCTATCTTAGTATAAGTTTGATTATATCCTATTAGTATAAAGTTTAACTTTATCACATAGGTTTTATACGTATAGCAGGGACAACAATGAGATGTATCTCATTGTAACCCATGTGATGGACAATACGGAATGGATTTCTGGTATTCTTCATATACATGTTTGTCTTACAATGGCTTAGTACTCATATATGACTCACCATTCCCATATAGAGTAGCAGTGTCAGTTTTACTAATAGTTTTCCGGGACCATGTTTACAGACATGCTTATTATGGTCTGGGAGGGCGGTGTCAAATCCAAATGCAACCATCTACGTTGACCAACTATGTTATGACACAAGATACCCACCCTAATGAACTTCCGATCTTGATAAAGGACTGTGATGGTTGGCGTAACAAACTCGTGAATATCCGAATGAGAGCTCGACTGAAATAAAGAAATACGACGAAAAATGTGATTCGCGAAATCGAAGGCTCATAGGAAGAACGGAAGATGTTTTCTGGAAGTTGTTTACATCGAGTCGATTTTTTGTACTTTAATCTATCAGGTTATAGTCTCATGTGGCCGAGTGGTTACAACCTTCGCTTTCCGACCATGAAACCCGCGTTCAAATATCATTATTGTCGTTTTATCAGGACTTCTTGATGTTATAGACCTAGGGAGGACACTTGGGAAAGTTCCTGAAAACCACGGGTTGACCCAAGCTTTGTGAATGAAAATAGATAGACGGAACTATTAGCACGAAATCACAAGTCATCGTGACCGAGAGTTTGAGTGTACTGGCCTTTTTCAGACTGTTGATAACGCCAAAAATACGTTATCTCCCAGAAACTGTAACTAATGTCCGCTCAGCTTAGTTGCAGTATAAACCACAGGTTGGCTCTGTGGGTGACTGAAGAAGCACAAATGTGCCTGAGCAGGCGTCTGCAACAGGGATTGGCTAACCATCCTCGTAGATATAGGCATACTCGGATACGAGTGGTCAGTTATAATCTCGTCGGACAATAACCGTGTGGATTAAAGATTAAGGTATTGTTTCATGAAGTTAGTGACATTGTGAGTTCAATCCCTGTTCCGGGTAGGAAAAAGAGTGAGCAGTAACTGTGCATTACTAAAACAAGAACCAGACAAGATATCGCTAGATATGGAAAGCGAAACAAGAAAAATCAAACCATCGTAAATTAAATAAAGGTTTAATTTCGAAATTACCTGGAAGTTACATGCATCGATAGACCCCTGAAGAAGGCCGGAAGCACAACGACTGAAACGTTGTGATAATAACGACCAATGTAAATATAGATAATTTCTAATTTTAAAAATTCCGAGCAAATTTAAAGAAAGCATTATAGGAAGAAATAGGAGAAAGGGAAATAAGTAATTGTATAAATTTTCGTATTCTATGTATATTGTCCCTTTAGGAAGATGGCGATTAGGGCTCTCTACAAATTCTCCTATGCAACCCTAAGTAAGGTTTCTAGTTTTGCTATCTCTCCTAATCTCTGTTCTGCCAACAATTTACACGTTGGCTCGTTGGGTAGGTTATGTACTACTTTCCTCAGTCCAGCTTGCCTTCAAAATGTCCGATGAGTGTCAAATTCTCCAAACCTTCTTTTCTCGTTATCTGCTTAGAAATTTCAACTCTCTCTTTTTGATTCTGTACTTTTTGGTTCCATTTTCCCTAAAACCCGGCGTTGCTCTACATCTTCAGTCCATGCTATTCTCAGTTGACTTCTGTAGAACCAGATTTGGAAAGAATTGTATTACGAGAAGCTCAAACTGAGAAAATCGTGGCTAATTTTGGGACACCCTTCAGCATCGCAAAATAAACGGCAAATGCCATAGGAAAATGGCTAAGCATGATGAGTGTTGATTTGTGGGTGAACATACTGATATATAAGATCGTGCGGTATTTGCTGTCATTACATTTAGTTCCTTAGCCTTACGGATTTGATGTTATTTATTTCGGTATCGCTCTTACGATACATATTTCAAGATATTAAATATAATCTTCCTTTTTGTGACATGTACTTTCAGCACATAAAAACTTCATGTCTTCAGTTCTCGAAGGGCCAACATTTTTTTGACGTCAAAGTATCTTTTTGTAGTGACACATTTTTACTGTCTCAAATCTCTTCTTCATCTGTGAGGAGATTGTCTACCATTTTTTTAAAGAATTTCACCCCAAACATGCCAGGAGAGCCACTAGCACACAGGGGTGTGCAGAGAGTGAAAGTGAGGGAAAGAACTGAGTACGGGGGGGTGAGGAAAGGATAAAAGAAAAACAGGGATCACAGCAACAGATGATGATGATTGACGCTGCATTTAAATTTTAGTAGTAGAAGTAGCGATTGCATTTAACTATTTCAGCAGTAAAAGGTTGGGGCCAAGATGCCAGTCTAGTAGCACGCTTAAATTCATGTCGTCGAGCCATGAGGGAAGATAGATCATTAGAACAGTTGCCATGAAAATATTTGTAGAAAAGACAGAGGGAAGCCACATCACGTCTATTACAGAGTGACTAAAGTTGAGATGTCAAAGCAGGACAGATTACATTGCAGATCCTTCTTTGGATTTTGTCAATAACCTCTAGGTGAACAGCAAGAGCACCAGACCAGATATGGCAAAAATGTTCACTGCATGGATGAATAGTATATTCGTATATGTGTAAGATGGACTCTGACGGGCAAAAAACCTTCTGGCACGACACAGTGAACCGACTTTCCTAGCAGAAGATACAGCTATTGATTCAACCCCAGGCCAGTGGAAAACGTGAGACCATGACGGCTCAGTGAAGCGCTGTCGTGGAGTTGAGCATCAACCATGCTGATATGAGGCAGGGAAGTTTTTCTGTGGTGAGTAAATGACAGCAGTTTCGTTTTGTAGGTATTAAAGTTTACAAGCCATTTATTGCCGCAGTCAACCATTGATTGGCGGTCCTTTTCATGTTGCATGTTTAACTCTGTCAGCGGTACCGGATTTGTTATTGAGACAGGAGTAAATGGTAGTGTCGTCTGCGTAGAGGCCAATTTGAAAACTAATGACATCAGGAAGATCATTGATGAAGATCAGAAACAGCGTAGGAAATAGGATAGAGCTTTGGGAACTCCTACGTTTTAACTTCTCATATAGAAGGACTGATATCACATAATTGTTCAGTACCCTTTTCTTTTGTTTCTAATGAAAATTTCTGTTTCCTAATACTTTGCTTAGCTTTTTGGAAGGCATATTTAGCTATACCAATATATACATAAATAAAAAAAAGTAAATGTTAAAAAAAATGAAGAATATTAGTAATGATTTTAGAATGAATGAAAACAGAAGAGAGAAGTAAAGGTTTAGAATAATTACTGGAAGGAAAATCAGCGCATGAAAAAGAAGAATTCGTAAAGAAACTAAAAAAACGAAATGGAAGAAATAAAAACAGACAAAAAACAAAGTCAGGAAATCAACCGAAAGAAACAAGATGGTAGAGAACGCGAACAAATAAAGTTCTCTTCTAATAAGAAATAGTTCAAATTATTGGAATCGCTGTCTTCTGAATTATTGATTGATAACAGTATTTTCTATTTGTTCAATGTCTGCCGGACACGCGGCCGTTTTATGATTGGTGCCGCGTTCACAGACCAGACGAAGCTTGGCCAATCAACATGGAGGACAGAGGAGTTAGGTGAACGAAGGGAAGTAACTCACAACCATTGTTTTCGTCCTACTGAATTTGACAACCAAAATACTTGAACATGTTTTTCGACAATTGCCGCCATCTCCTCTGCTGGTACGCCGTCGCACAGTCTCAACCCTTTCTAATGAATAAACAAAGTCAATAAACAAGAACGTGATTCAAATGAAGCTGGTTACTCCATTCGTTCGGACGCCGTTTTTTTTATGTTTCCGTGGGCGTAAATTTCAATATTAACGTTGTCAGTGTTCAAATGTAGTTGCAAACACATTTAATTGAGCACAGAGTAATCAACCAATCTGGTTATTGGTCTAATCAAGAAGGAACCAATCAGTTCGATTTAATTCGCTTCTCTTTTCCTCTTTCTTTTTGCTTTCTATTTTCCCGACTTTTTTCTTTACACTATCATCTATCTATCTATCTATCTATCTATCTATCTATCTATCTATCTATCTATCTATGCCAGGATGTCTATTATCTATCTATCTATCTATCTATCTATCTATCTATCTATTCATCTATCTATTATCTATCTATCTATCTATCTATCTATCTATCTATCTATCTATCTATCTATCTATCTATCTTAGTCTCCATTATCTATCTATCTATCTATCTATCTATCTATCTATCTATCCATCTATCTATCTATTTTTTTAATCGATATCACCCTAAGCAAGAGACTACAGTCACTAGCAAGTAAGGGGTTACAGAGTGCGGAGGAATTATGAACAGAAACATTACTAATGAGGAGAAAGAGAAAAAATCAATCAGGCCGACAGTGGATAGCGATTGATATTGCATTTAAATTTTTTCAGATTAAAGTTGGTTGGAAAGCACGGTGAGAGTTCCACAAGCGAGAAGTGCAGGGTAAGAGACTGTTAGCATAGAAGTTACGGACACATCTAGCTAGAGCAACTGTAAATTGATGAGATCTCGGCGCCAGTCTAATATTGAGCTTAAATTTATAGTCTAGGTACCATAGTGTAGAGCTGATCCGAACAATTACCATGAAATTATTTATAAAAAAAGGCATAGAGAAGCAAGCTCACAGCGGTGGGCAAGTGACTGAAGCCGAGCTGCGAGATCAGAACCAATAATATTGCTGATTCTTCTTTGGATCTTATCAACGAGCTCCAGGAAAATAGGAGAGGCACCAGACCATATATGGCAACAATATTCTAAGCATGGACGAATGGTAAACTTATAGAAATACAAGATAGATTCCGGAGAGAAAAAAAATGTCTCGCTAGACACTGTCTGTCTGTCTCTCCTCAACTATTCATTTATTTCTTCCTTTCTTTGGTTTCCACCTTCGAGCACTTTTTCCCTCTCGAAACTTCTCTATCTATCTATCTATCTATCTATCTATCTATCTATCTATCTATCTCTCTATCTATCTATCTATCCCAGTTTCTTCATTATCTATCTATCTATCTATCTATCTATCTATCTATCTATCTATCTATCTATCTTTTTCTCTCTGTCTCTCTTTTTTTTTTTCTTTCTTTCTTTTCAACTCCTTTTCTTCTAATTTTGGGATTCCTTCCTTCTTTCTTTCTTTCTTTCTTTCTTTCTTTCTTTTCTATATTTTCGAAACATTTAAATTTGCCCTTCTTCTTTCTCATATTTTTCCTACTTTACGCTTTTAAAAATTACCTTTGCTTTCTTTCTTTACGTTTTACTTTTCCCGCGCATTGTATATCTTGTTTACTTTCTTTTATAAATTTCTTTCTTTTATTTCCTTTGATTCTTTCTTTCATTTATTTACTTTATCAGACTCTTTCTTTCTTTCTTTCTTTCTTTCTTTCTTTCTTTCTTTTCTGATTCTAAATATTCAACACCTATATTTCAGTAGTAAAGAACATGTGAAATTTATTATTTCGCCAAAGAGTTTTTCATCGCTGAAAAATAGAAAACAAAATCTCTAAGCGCTGCAAATCCTTCCTTTTACACTCAGCTTTAATTATATTTGCCTTCGCTTTTGAAATTTGATCATTTTCCTATGAAATCAAACACCTATTCACTCTAACAGCAAAGGTCAGTTTTATCCCTGTTCTTTTTTGCGTACATTTTCGTTTAATAATTATGGGGGGGGGTTAATGTTGTTGTGTCTCACCGACTTAAAATACACCATTATAGTTAACTATATTTTCATCATGGAAAAGAAAAGAATGTTTTCATGACTTCGTTCCTCTTCGCCATTACATAAATTTGATATTGTGGCAATGGTCGCCTTTTTGGTTGGTTGATTTTTAACGGTATATCAACCTCTATGGGTTATTTAATGCCGGAATTTAAATATCTTAAACACAATGTTATGGCTTCAACAGTTAATAAATAAAGATAAATAGATATTGTTGGTAATTGTGCTATAAATAGATTTTATTGGTAATTGTGCTATAATTAGATTTTATTGGTAATTCTGCTAAAAATACCAATTGGTGATACTTATGCTACAAATAGGAATTGTTTGTAATTTTTTTTATATAAAAATGTGTTGCTGGAATTTTTACAGTAAAAATGTATTTTTATACATTCATAGACTTTTGACTTTATATGTTCGCTATTTGCTCTTTTACAAAGGTGCTCCTCAAAACACCCATTCTCCCGATTAGAGGCCTTACTTTTGCGCTGGTCCAAGAAGTATTTACAAATATATTTTTTGATTAGATTCACCCAATCCAAGGTCACTCGATGTAGAGAGCTACAGAATGGGGTGTGTGGTATTAATGTAATAGGAGATGGTTGGGGGGTGTAGATTATGAGGATAAGGAGGATATATAACAAGTGGTTACTGTCTGGTATATGTAAAGATTGCAGTGTTTAGGGGGACATCTATGCAGAAGATTATTCCATAATACATCAGTTCTTGATGGATTTCTTCCTACTTTACTGATTTCACTTTCGATTAAGGTATATTTTTTTTTTTTAAATCCTGTCCTGCAGTAAATGACACTTGCTTTTTAAAACTTTGTATGTTGTTTTAAGTTGAGAAACCGCACGAACGTTTTTGTCCATTTAATATCTTTTATTCATAGTGAAACAAAGAAACAAAAATTCTACATTCACTTCAACGTTTCTTACATAGAAACCTGATTGAAAATTCTCTAAGATTGTTTACATTTTGGTAAATTCATGCAAACACAGGAGAGCATTATTTAAAATTGTTTTCGAAATTATTCATATATTTTCATAAGGTTTTCGTTGATTATTTAGAAAGACCAACTGACTGATTGCCTACACTGAACAGATTTTCATTAACGTTTGTTTATAAGATATTTACTGAAAAATTATAACTTAAGCATATTATATCATCACAACAAAAATAGCCATTTTGTTTCAACACTGCTGGTGTCTTGTCAAGTGATAGCTTTGATTGCAAAATAAAGAGTTTTAAAAAGTCCAAAACCCACCAAGCGCTCCAATAGGGGAAATATTATTGCGTAAGTAATGATACATGGTAATATTTAAAATTTAATATTCGTAATTTTTATTCTTTAACTGCATAAGTAAATTAAAAGTTAATTAGTTATATTGATTTTCAATCTAATTTAATATTAATATTAAAGCGTTAATAAATTGTATCTAGGGTCTGTTGTCAAGTTATTTGAATTATCATATACTTCATCATAACTTACTTAATAATGTTTCCCCAATTGCAATCAACACCATCACTTGACAAGACACAAGAAGCGTTGAAACAAAATGGCTGTTTTTGTAATGATGTTATAAAATACTTATGTTATAATTTTTAAATATATATTATTCACTCTTGATGTAATGAATATGCCTACACCTGGGTTCCCCCTCACAGTAATATGATTGGCTGGTGTCAGCCATAAATACAGACTGATGTGGAGGTACATGGACTACGTCTATTGGCTAAGCCTATTGTCTGAGCCGATTGCCTACCACTACGACGAGGACCAGTCCATTACGGTTACCTGCTAGATTATCCTACACGGTCAAAGTAGTCCAAAATCACTTTGCTTCTTCGGACAAATATATCCCTTTTCGGGACATATCAGCTCTACTTTGTATTGAGCACGTTTTGAAAAATTGTGGTTTTGGTTATCGTAATTTTATTCCATCTATACCAACCCTGTATACGGTTAATATTTGTTTATGATATATATATATATATATATATAATTGCAAGGGTCTAGTGGATTATCATGGTCTGTGGCTTCCTGCTTTTCTTGCAAGATGCATACAATATGTTCACATGAAATATGAGTGGAAATGATGTTTTCTCGCTTTCAATAAAAACAATTATTAACTTCCTATATATATATAGTGTAACTCGGATATAAGAGAGTTGTCGGGACCGGAAGGGAAGTCTCTTATATCCGGGTTTCTCTTATATCCGGGTTTGGTCTATTTTATATACATTAACACAGACTCTAATTTGGGACCAGAGAAAATCTCTCTTATATCCGGGTTTCTCTTATATCCGGGTCTCTTATATCCGGGTTTCACTGTATATTGTTTATATTGTTTATATGTTAATTTTCGAGAAATCCAGGCCGGTAAATGTAATTAATACTGTTTATTTAAGGAAACAGAGCATTTACTTGTATAATTGTATCTATTAAAATCATGTATAAACAGAAAATATATTAAATAATGTTGAACTTATTCCATATATATATATATATATATATATATATATATATATATATATATATGTGTGTGTGTACGTACGTATATGACTGACACGTTACGTAGTAGTTTTTAGTTTCCATTTTGTTTTTAAACGAGTAGCTACTAGTATATGTACATTTGTATATCATTATATTCCATAACATTGCATATAAGTAAAATAAAAGTAATTTTCTATCAATTATATTTTTTAGGAAGCCATTTCGCACATAAAGTTTCCGGAAATTTTGGGTAGCACATCTTGTGTAGTTTTTTTTTTTATCTTCAATGTTTAGAAACTGTAAGACAGTAAAAAAAATCAAAACAAACAAAACAAACAGTTTCAAGTAATAAAAAAATTAATCCTCACTGTTCTCCCTCACCCCCGTACCTCCACTAAAAAAAAAAAGAAAAAAAAAAAAACAGAAAACGAAACACAGGAAAAAAAATCCCCACAAAACAGGTAAAATTTTGGTAGCCAACCAACGACAGTAATAAACAAATAAATGGCAAAACCTTTCTTCACTTTCTTCACTTTCTTCACCTTTTTTTATGCCCCATTGCTGAAAGGGAAATCGTTGTGTAAACGCATTTGAGCTATCGATCGGTTTTAAGGGCCTGAATTATGTCGGTTGGTGCGGTCTTTGACTGATTACCTCCTTGATTTAGTTCTGGCTGCTAAGCGAGGCGTGGCGATATGTAGAACGCGTGACTGGACTACTTACCCAAAAGAGGTTCACTTTTATTTTCCTTTTTTTTATGTTGCTTTTTAATGTTTTGACCGAAAGGTTATAAATGCGAAAGTCGTAGTCGCTTTGCAGTTTTTTCTATTCAATATAATGGCACTGGGAATGGCGAGAATATCCGTTTCCTTATAAGGAAACATTCGGCATACATTAACCGAACAGTTAGTGTTACTGCCGGTTGAATTTTATAAAATCTTTCTCTTAAAAATTATAAAAATAAAATAGGTTTCCCAAATCCAATAACTATTATCGCTCTTTCTATTAATGAAGAGAGTTTAAGATAGAGTGAATAGTCAATGTTTTGTTTATTTCATTATTTTATCTTCGAGTTAGATGTGCAAACCATTTTTGTTGTTGTTACTGTTGGAAGTCTTCAAGTGATTTTGTTATTTGGAAAAGTTCTTTGTGATTCTGTAGCTCCAGTCTATATGATCTGATGAAGGGTTGTTTTCTTAAGAGGTTAATTTGCTTGAAGCTATTTTTACTCATCGATTTGAGAAAAGGGGTGCGTATAAATTAAATTTTAGAGATTTCTGAACAATTTGGAAAGCGTCTATGCCATCCAGATGAGAGTCGAGATATATATATATATATATAAAGTACATGATTTCAGTTTTCAGGTTAGTATTTTGGTTATGACATGTTTCGACAAAAAAAAATGCTTTATAATTTATTTTGAAAATGAATGACAGTAATAGTTTTAGTCAAAGAATACAGCTCAGTTTGATTGTCTTAGATTGAGTTCAGGAAAACAAAATTTGCCATTTGTTTAGTTTTCTCTTCCAGTAAAAAGTTAGGTCGGTGGCGCCACCTCCCAGCTTTCCTTAAAGCATCAAAGATGCTAACATACATGGAAATTACATTCTTAAAGCAAATGGCAAAACTAAAGTGGTGCAAATAATTTTCATCAATCGACTTGGGTATTATGAATATACCATCGTCTTGTTATCTTGATTATACTCAAATAATGACTAAACCTTTGTCACCTCGAATTTTTCTAATGGATTTATTTTTATTATCAAATAATTATCACTTTAAACGTTATTTTTAGTGGATATTCGTATTTGAGTAGACGCCCCGTTTATTTATTAGACAATATATTTATTATCGTTTACCGACCTGGATGTTTGAGAAATCTTATTAAACAAAAATGTACACTCTCTTGCAGGATTCGAACCTGTATCCGTCTAGGCAGCGGGAACTATCGTTAAGACCCGAAACATTCTAAGCGACAGAAAAACCATTGATCAAGTAAGGATGAAAATGTGCCTTTAAGCGAAACTTCTTTTATCAGAGATCGTAGACATAAATACCTCAAGGAAAGTTGATTCTTCAGAAAGTTTTCTCTCGCCCGAGTCCATCGTTCCTTATCTATAAATCAGCCATTCGCCCTGACATGGAAACCAGGTGCAAATGTGTGAGCTCCATCAGACAACC